GTCGGGGCTCAGGGCGACCCATCTCGCCCTTTCTCCCAGGGCCGTTTCTGGCCCCTGGGGCATGCAGGGCCAAGTAGGGGGGAAAGGTGGCTCATTCCCAGCTCATGGGATGCTCTTGGTCCCTGTAGCTCTGGACGTACAGATGGCAGTTTGAGGGATTCTGATTAAAATGTGACAGCTGCCTGCTGCGGCTCTGATGGAGAGGCATGAGGAAAGGGGGCTCTGGCTTCCCGTGGTTGGTTTCCATGAAACAAAGACTTTTCTGATGCAGACTCGCTCATGTCCCACAGCATTTTATCCCCCTCTGCTCCCCTGTTTTCTGGATCTAGGTGTGCACAAGTTTTCCAAAGGGTAACTCAGTCCCCAGGTACCCTCTAAGCCCATTACGAATGTGCACCCTGGTCCCTTGTGCTGCATGCCATCACTGCAGACGCACAGGGTGGCTTTGCCATCCGTCTCATCCCATGCTCACAGGGCTCGGCACCCCGTTCCCTGCAGCAGGGATGGCTGGAGCCTGTGGGTCCAACAGGCATCGCCGAGCCCATGTGCTGACTTGAGTAGGCTTCAGCTGGCAAAAACCCAGGGCTGTTCATAAGTGCCGTTTCAGACCTTGGTCGCCAGCCCTTCGGCTGTCCTTGTCGAGGAAGGTGAACGACAGGACAGTCTGTTTGTCTTGTGTAAGCTGCTTCCAAATGCAACAGCCGCCACCCCAGACTGTTGTAGCTTTTTTGCTGCTTCCCCTCCCCACCCCAGAAAACCTAAACCAACCAAGCTGTCAGCATCTCCTTCCCTCCACCACTGTCTGTTGCCTGTACCTGTTGTAGCAGGTGTGTGACATAGATGGGTCTTGAAGCTGGAGGGGGACACCTGGGACTGGGGCTGGCCCTGCTGCAGAGTGCAGGGTGGCTGGTGACTCTGCTTGCTCAGTACATGACTGGATTTTGGAAGTAGGGATGTGGGCATACAACCTGCTGCTGGCAGGGGAAAGGAGGATGCGTGTCCTCTGCTTTCCTCTTGCCCAAGGTGCAGTGCCAGCTTACCCAAGGAAGGCAGCTCACTGGGTCACCAGAAAAAGTAATTTGAAGTCTACGGCTGCTCTCCTTAAATCACCTTGGAAGAAGGCAGACGTGCCCAGCTCCTGGCATCTCTATTTTTACTTTGTGCAGAGATGGATATGGCTGAGCTGTCTCCTTTTATTTCCAGCATTTGGCGCATGCTGTAGTGCATTGCTAAAGATGTGTCTGGCTGGATGCGAAGCTGCCTGCTTCCCTGAATCCCCAGGGGACTGCAGGGGTGAAGGGCCCTTGTCTTTTGCATGGCTTTGTAATTCACTTCTCGTCTGCTTGCTCTTTGCCTCCCCCTTCCACTTCCCTTGCAGGTTTTCTGACTTTTTTTTTTTTTCCTGTATTTATTCAAAGCAGCCTGGGTAAACAGGGAGCAGGAGCATGGTAACTGGGGCCACTGGTAGCACTGGATTCCAGAAGCATTTTTAATGGGTTTCTAATAACTGAAACTGCCCCATTCTGATGTAAAAACTTTTCTTATTTGCTGTATCTGCAGCTTGGCACAGAGATCGCCTGGAAGGGAGGCCTTGGAAAGGCTCAGACTGAGCATTTTGCTTCCTGACAGTCAGGCTGACTAGCTTTGCACCTCAGGTGGCTCTAGTTGCAGCAGCTCTGATGGTACCAGTTTGCCAGACCTGTCCCGCTGATGCCGTTTTTAGCTTGCAGCTGCCCCCAGCACCACGTGCCCAAATTGTGCCTGTCAGCTGCCCCGTGTACCTCCTCCCACTTGTGGGCTGGAGCCTGTACACGACAGCTGGCCAACTCCCCAGTATCTTCCTCTGCCCATGGGATGCTCGTGGAGAGGCTGATTTCATGGTTACCTGCTCCAAAACCTGGTTAGGAATAAGATAAATGGTTTGACCTGTTGCACTGGGCGCCTCAAACCTCTTGGATAACCTGAGGGGAATGAGAGCCCTGTGGGGATGTGACGGTGGGTGTGAAATTGGGGGGAGGGAGGGTGTCTCTGGCTGCCCTGGACCCACTGCCCCCAGCATTGCCCACACTGTGGGGGCCTGGGGATCTGCTGGCTCCTCCAAGGGCCTGGGGGATGAGCTGGGACATGCAATCCCCATATTTAGCCACAGCCTTGCTCCCAGCCGTGGGGCAACGCATCTGCTCAGAGCTGTCATCCATCCTGTTTCTCCCCCAGTGAGGCGGGGGGAAGCTCATGTTTCTGGAGTAGGTTGGAGAAGATGCTCCATAACAAATCCTCTGCCACCTGAACTGCTCTGAGGCTCGTCCTACATCTGGTGACTTGCTGTGCCTGGTAACAGTACACTGGGGGCTTTGGAGGGCGTAGAGGAAAAGGGGAGAGCTTCTCCATTGCTGAGAAATTGCCTTCAAGCTTTTCAGCTTAAAATGTTGCTTTCTGCCCCTTTGGTTGCCCTCAGGCACCTGGAATGGCAGCTCCAGGGTGCGTGATGGCCAGGAAGGTGGCTGGAGAGGGCTGCCCTCGGTGGGGGTGCAGGACTGGGACCCCTGAGAGCCCTGGAGCTCTCCCTCCAGGAACCGTCCCTCCTCTGCAGGCACAGGCTGGCTGTGACCACACCAGTTTGGGATGTTCGTTAATTGAGAAGTCTTGGAGCTGACAGCTCCTGTGCCTGCGATGGAGAACTTGTTAGCTAGTTGCAGTGAGACTTTTAGACATGGTCCGACTTTAGCCTTAATGGTGGGTTATAGGGGGGTCCATCATTGTAGCAGGGACCACCAGCCAAGGGTTGGCTCTGAGTATCAGGCTGCAAACCCACTGCCTTTGGTTCCTGAGTCTCTTGTCTGCCGTGGGAAGGGAGATGGGCCATGACGTGTATGTGCTTGAACATGCCCACCCACCTGCCTCCCAGGAACAGGAGTGCCTCAGCACCGCAATGCAGCAAGCAGGCTTGAATTAAAGACTGTCATCCCCTTATCTGGGCATTGCAACAGATGGTGGTGATCTGTAAACTTCTGTGGCGAAGGGAGGCTGAGGGGGAGCCTGTTCAGGGGCTGTTGCTCCTGAAGGATGTGAATGTTCTCCAGCCCTTGGTTGGGCTTTTCTCACTTGTATCTTCCATGTGAAAATGTGGGAGTGGAGTGGTTGAGTCTGGGCTTGATTTGACTTGAGCCATCCAAATTATTTGGGCTAACTCGGAGCAGGACAGGCTCATTGTGAGCCCAGAGAAGTGGCGATATGTCTGAGGTGGGAGCCTGAGAGCTGGTACCAATGTGAGGGTACGCAGGGTGCCACCCTGCTAAAACCGCTCCCTGCTCCTTCTAATGCTAAAACCCCTATGTGTTTTTGGCTCTGGCATCTGGGAAGAGAGAGGATTGGATGTCACCTGGGGGTATGCAGGGGATTCGGTGTGATGGTTTGCTCTGGGATGGGACCTGTGTCTGCTCAGACCAGGTGTGCTGTGTGCCATGGTGTGGGCAGCTCCTGTTGCAGGCCATGCTCTCCTGTTCTTCCCTGCCTTGGAAGTGCCGATGCACATCACAGACACAAACAAGCAAGTTGGTGTGTCGGCCTTGCTGCTGTATTGATGCTTGGTTAATGAGAGTTGTCATCTGGAGCTGCTTATCCTTCGCCCTTGAGTATAAAACAGCACTTCGACTGTAACAGGCTCTGGTGCTCAAAGTCATGATCAGGCTTTGAAGGTATAGCAGGAGATCTGATGGGGGGAGGCTGTTCTTCGTTGTGGGATTAGAGACTTCAAGCCCTGAGGAGCCCCTTCTACGTGAATGCACACCGGTAAGGGGACTGGGGTAAGAACTATGCATTCCCCCTGCAGAGGGGGCTGGATTTGGGTTTCTTTCCACCCTGTCTTGAGTCAGTGTGGAGGACAAGGTCACACTCGCCAGGCAGGTGCTCTGAAGAGCTCTTTGAGGTGGTTGCAAGCAGCATCGCCTGCAGCCTCAGTGTTTGGGTAGGTGGGTAGAGGTGGTGAGATCAGCATGGCTGAGAAGGCTTGTGGAGTGGGGAGGGGGAGAGCTCTTAAGCCTATGCAAATTGGCCACGTGCCTCCCAGGTAAATGCTTCCTGTGAGATGCAGCTTGAATACAGGGGAGCAGATGGGTGAAATGGGAAAGGAGTCTGTCTGGTAGTTCCTGCCACCTTCTTGCCAGCAGAACTATTCACCTGGCAAATCTGGTGAGGGAGTTCTGTGGGATCCATTAAAGCTGTTGCAAAATCTGGTGAGAATCAGGACAGGAGATGTTCAGGTTGAGGTAGCGTGAAGGCCCAGTTTGTGCTGCGATAGGTCTGCCTGTATCCTCCCTGTGTGGGGATAGTGCTGCAGATCATCTCCTGCTGTGCAACAAGGCCACACTGTTGTGTTTGTCTGTCTCAGTGGTCTAGTGTCGACATTGGAGCTTGATTTCAACCTGCTGTGAATTGGCCAAGACTAACTGAAAATGTCTTGCGGGTAGCTCTCCTGAAAGCCACATAGCTCTTCCGAAAGCCATGCTAGAGGGTGAGCTCTGGGGTGACTTTCCCAAGGTAAGGCACAAACATAGCTCAAATTACTCTTTGGGAGGGTCAGATGGCATCTCAGATGCTTCCAGACCTTACTGTGTGGCTTTACTGTGAGCCCTGTGTTTCTAACAGGAAGAGGAAGCCACTCACTTGAAGTGGTGTCTGGCTGCTGAGAAGCAACGTGCTTATCAACGTGGTCAGAGGTCCTGATGTAGGGCAAGTGTTAATGGGCAAAGTGCTTCTGCTGCAATCCTTGGAAGTAGAGATGGACCCCAGGACACGGGAGCAGGCTTCCAGGGACTGGGGATGTCCTGTGAGGGTGGACGGGCTGTAAACTCAAGCAGCAACTGAGCTTGTTCAGGCTGCACTGTAGTGTCCAGCTCTCTGCTGCTCCTGCAAACAGGGCTATACACCTTCTTTAGCTGGCTAACAGGCTTGTGCCAAACAACTCTCTCCTCCCAGGGATGGTGGGATGGATGCTCGGCAGGATGCCTGGCTCCTTATGGGGTGAGAGGCAGCAGAGCCCTCTGCCATTCATCCCTATCTGGACAGGGACGCCTGAGTGTATCGGAGAGCATCGTTGCCACAAAGGCCTCTGCTGTCAGCCTGAGTGCCAAGGCTGATGCACGTATTGGGAGGGGATATTTCTTCATTTGGGAGAAAACTAGAGAGAAGGTTACATCTCAGGGAGCTGAAATCCCTGCTGTTAGGGGCTTTCACAATGCAAGGAGGACTTCAAGGGTGATAACATCTGGGGAGTAGCACTGGGGTAGCAGGGAGTGTGCAATAGCGCTGAGAGTAAGGGGAAAACATGCTTCTGAAATGAAAGCATGACCCGATTTCTTTGTTCCATTTTTCCACCCTGTGTGTGTTTTCATGAGGCATTGCTCCTGCACAAGTCCACATACAGTACCTGAAGCTGAGGTTTTGCTTTCTCCCAGTGCTTACGTGTGTACTTTCTCTCAACAGCCATCAAAGTGAGCTGCGTTGGATCCTGTGGGGTGTCTAACAAGATCAATGACACAGCATGGACCGTGGAGGAGCAATACTTTAACAGCACACTGTCTCTGGCAGACAAAGGTAAGGTCCACAAAGGCACAGTGGAGATCTGTGATTCTGAGGTGGTCCACAGAAATGTATCACCAAGACTTCAGCATCTTCTCGATGTGAAAAACCCCTTCACAGGCTGCCTTGGCCTGTGCACAGAGGATGGGAGCCAATATTAGAGACTACAAGAGCTTAGAAGGAGCTGCGCAGAGAGGCATCCCGAATAGCTGCAGAACTTGGCAGCCACCCTGCAAACACTGCTTGCATCCGAGCTCCTGAAACGGACCTGCCAGCAGTGACTTCTCTGCTGTTTCAAGGCCCTGTGGGTTCACTCTGCTCCACTTCCTATGTGTGTTGTCTATGGTGGTAACAAAACACTGATCAAAGCTGGTCAACAGAAGCCAGTTGCAGGCCGGGAGTAGTTTGCACTGAAAGGGATGTGGAGGTGTCACTTGTCCTCCAAGAGAAATGTTGAGAGCCTGCCAGGCACAGCCTAGGACAGTTACCACCACACCCCCTGCAAGCCAAGATGCCTAGAGATAGCAACGGGTTTGTATTATACTGCAGAGTAAAGTGACACCAGCAGCCTCTGGGGAATCTGGGCTCGAATGAATGCTGTCTTTCTGCTGTTAAATAGGTCAGCCTTACCACAAATAATTCATGCTGTGCCCTGGCTCCTGTTGAAATCAAGATGTGCCAGTATTCACCTGCTGAAGGCAGTGGCTGTAGCAGTAACTGTAATGTGGCAAAAGCCCAGGGTAGCAGGAGCTCAGCCCTCTGATGCTGCTTTAGCTGATAACAGGAAATGGGTAAAACTGAAGTGGCAGTTTCTGCTAGCTCAGCAATTTTTCAAGCAGAGCTTTTAGCATTGAGGGGAGACTGACCTCATCCTTGCAGCAACTGGCAAGAGTGCTGCTTGCTCTCAGGTCCCAGAGAAGGGAGACAGCTGGCTGTCTTGCCTCTTGGCTTGGCTCATAGCCCGGGGGCTGCAGTTGGAGGTAAACTGCCTGGGAGGGCAACGAGAAATGTTCCTGCCTGATTTTGGATGCAACGCTGAGCACAGCCAGCAAGCCCAGCTGTGAATGTCGGGGTAGCAAAATCCCAGTGGCTTTAGAAGGTGCTGCAGGCCATTGAGCTTAGATGAGTTGGGAGCTGGAGGCTGCAAATGACCGTGGACTTCTGGAGAGGTTTAAACCTGCAACTGCACTGAAAAATGCACCTTCCAACTTTTATTTCTAATATTTAATGATTCAAGGGAGAGCTGTGATATTGTGGTCGGTCTGTCCTAGTGAAGCTGAGCAGTAGCAAAAGCCAACCAGGAGATAGGAGTGGAAAGAGGTGGGTGTGCTGTTCATTGGTTTTGCAGCCCCTGGGAGATTTTGATAGCCGCTTTGGCAGTCAGTTCTTGTGAGATTGCCCTTGGGAGCCATCCCCTTGACGACTAGGACCAGTGTGGACTGGGAAGGATGGAAGTAAAATGCGTTGATGACTGCACGCTTTCATGGCTCTGATGTGTCTCCTTTGAAGGCCTGAATTCCAAAGACGGCCAAAATTTGGTTTCCCAGCTCTTAAACTGTTCATGGAAAGCCCTAGTCTTTTGGCACTTCATTTTCTGGGACCCAGACTCTTGTACCTTGCTCAGCGCAGTGCTGCTATCTGTCAACTGCTGGTATTGCAAACTCTGCCAGCCTGAGACTTGAGTGGGCGTCTGGGGCAGGGGCGGCAGGGCTGGGCTGCTCGCTCTGTGATGGAGCCAGTGGCAGAGCTGGCAGGTGCCCAGCTGCGTGCCTGCAGTGTGATGGGGACAAAACAGGCCAGCTGATGTCTTCCAGAGCTACTGCAGCTCCAGGCAAGTGGGCTGAGAAATGGTAGTGCATAACTTGGCAGAGATGTAGTGAACTGAAGGGAAAATCTGTCCTGTAGGACTGTAGAGTCCTGCGCTTGAAAGCTGAGTTCTGTTGTAGTGTCGTTACTGTCCTGTCTTGCAAAGCTACAGTGCAATTACGGGGAAAAGCCTGGTCCCAGCTACCAGCAGTCAGTCTGGAGCAGTGTGCCAGGTAGTTACAGTCACTGACCTGTGCTATTCTGCTTTTTGTGTCAAAGTGGACACAACTGCTGGGAGCTCTCAGCCTCTGGCTCCCAGCTGCAGGGAAGCAGATACGGAGAGGGCGGGCAGTCCCTATGCATAGGATCGCAGCCAAGGGCAGCACTTGTGGGGCATTTGCGCTTTATGTGATTGGTACAAGCTCAGGAGTTATCGTCCTGGACTTGCCGTGTTTGTCCCATGCCCTTCTTCCTGTGCCCCAAGGATGCAGGGGAGCGAGCGATGGAATGTGGGTGGGAGAGGGCAGTGTCGATGCTGCCTTCGGACCTGAGTCCTCCACCAGAGACAGCTTTGAAACTGTCCCTTGCAATTGCTGCGCTGGCCTGTGCGGATATGGAAACAAAAGCCCTGGGGGCTGGCACCGCTCCAGCCTTCGGCGCAGGGAAGCAAGATAACTGTCTGCTCTCGCAGCCTTTACTGTGACATTGATGCATGTCTGGGCTGGCAGAGCAGCGGGGAAGCCAGGCTGCTTCTCTGTGACTCTGCCTCCACGCGTGCCTGTCTCTGCCTGTCTGTCTGCCTCCTTTGATGGGGCCGCTGGCAGGGCGGCATCCTGGCATGGCACAGCCCTGCAGCAAGGCAGCAGCTGCGGTTTGCTGGGGGAGTTATGCAGTGGCCTTTTGGACATGAGCAGCAGGGCAGGGCCTTGGTGCAGACTCAGCCGTGGTGTTTTTAGGCTCCCCAGGAACAGCTCTCAGCTGCCACGGCCTTTCCTGAACAGATCGTGAAGGAGCTTCAGACAGATGGACCCTTGGTGCCAGCTCTGCTCAAAGCAGAGCTGTTCCTTTCCCTGCAACTCTAGCTAAGAGTGTTCAGCAGGGACGGGCTGCTCCGGTGTCTGGCAGAAAAGCGGTTTGAGGTGCAGCTGCCTCTGGGGAGCTGCACACAGTGCTCATGGGTGCTCCCTGGGGTGCCTCCCTCTAGGTCTGACACCCGGCTGGCAGGGGAAACTGAGGCAGTCTTGTGCTCTTGGGACACGGGGCGTTGAGCTGGGCCATGCTCTCCAATGGGTAATGGATGGCAGGAGCCCAGGGTGCGGGTGAGTTAAGGGAGTTGAAGTGTTTCTGAGCGACCCCCAAAGGAGCATGGGGCCAGCCCGGCCACCAGCCTGCACTGCCGGCACACGACTCCTTCCCTGGCCAGTGTTGGACAGCTGCTGGCAAAAAGCAGTGAGCACCGTGAGCAAAGGTTACTGCGGCTGCAGACAAATACTGCAGTGGCGTATGGGACGGTCCTGCCATGTATGTAAAGGTGCATGTATGCCTATTGCTTCAGGTGAGGGCTGGCTGTGCCCACCCTTCCTTCTCACGCCCTGAAAAGCAAACAGCAGGAGGGAGGGCAGGGACCATGGGAGGCCCCGTGGTTCAGGTGGGGGAGCTGCCTTTTTGCAGTGCTGGAAGAGCATCTTATCCACAAAGGAGGATGTCGCCTTCTAGCAGCACAAATGGAAGATGAATGGAGGAATGGGAGGAATTTGCTTCTGCTGCGGAGGATTCTTCTGTTCCTGTGTTCTCCTCCCCTTACAGCAATGCTGTTACCTCTCCTTTTTGAACCTGTGTGTTAAAAAAAACAAAGCAAGGGAGAACAGTATGTCCCTGTGGTACTGGGGGGAGGCAGCAGCCAGGCTGTGCCCTGGGACTGGGCCGGAGAAGGGGGTGATAACAGGCTCCCCGCTGGCATCATCCCTCGCACTCTTGCAGACACTATAGCGTCAGCTTGGGTTGAGGGAGGATCCCAGGTGTCCCCAAGGCCGCACAGCCACTGTGTCTCCATCTTGGCCCTGGTGAGCGGCTTGTGCTCCAGCAGGGTGGTGGCAGTGCTGGCACCTGGGGGACCGTGTGGGGAGGCAGGCTCAGCCTGAAAAACAACCCGCCTCGCTCTCTCCCTTCCCACATCCTGAGCAGTAACTTTGAAAAACAGCGAGCTGTGCTCTTTGAGGGTACGTGGGGGGAAGGGGAGGTTTGTAGAACTATTGAGGCTTGGATTGCCCTTTAAGCATTTGAGAGCAACTCTGCACTTCTCCACCCTCACACCTTTGCATTGAAATAAGTGAGGGGGCAGCTTGTCCTTTGTCAGCTGTTGCTTGTATTACACGTTTTTGGTTTTTTTTTTAAGGGTGTACGTTGTATGAGAAAAGAGGCAGGCCCTGAGATAACCTAGGTACCTGCTTTGCAATGCAAGGCACTTATTGAAGGCACTTGGCCTCATCCTTAATTTCCCATCTTGCCCTGCCTCAGAGCAGCATCCAGGGTGTGGAGGGCTCAGCCTTGCTGCTGGAGCATCTGCAGGTTGGTGACTGGTGTTTTTGCTGCAGAGGACCCTGCTTGTGTCTGTGCTGGTGCAGTGCTTGTCCCCGCTTGAGCAGTGCAGCGTCCATGCTCTGGGAAAGCCTCTCGCTGGGACTGGCCAAGGCCGAGCTGCAAGCTGGAGGCAGCAAGGACCTGTGAGCTGCTGGGGGAGCTGGGGGATTGCGCAGGGTCGGTGCTGTAGCCTTGGTAATAACACACAGGCCAGCGGTTTAATGAACTCGGGCTTTTTACATAAAACCTGCTGTAAAATGCTGAGTGTACCAGCTGGTCTGGAGCCTGTTGCTGCTCTGTTTGCTGGAGGACACAGTGCAGTGCCGGGGAGGTTGCTCAGCCCACATGTGGCTCTTGGGGGAGGCTCATTATTTGCCTCCCAGAAGGGAGGCCAAGGCAGGATTTGCTTTTCCCACTTGGCCTGGGTTTGACTTGGACACTTGCTCCCTGGTGGTGTTTTTTCTTGGCTTCTCTTTTTGCAAAGAAATGCAATAGGGCTGGGAGGAACCTTGCAAGTGGGGGGTTGTTGGGTTTCTCTAGGTGTCCACAGTGCAGAAGATCAAGTATACCAGTTGCAGTGAGTACAAAATAGCACTGCTTGTACCCGCTGCTCTCAGACAGAGAGATGC